CCCCCCCCCCCCCCCCCCCCCCCAAAGGCTTACTTTCTAAAAAATTACTTTTGGCTCTCCCTCCCAAGTTTAGATCTGCAGAAAACCAAGAATCAAGTTTCAGCCTAATATAAGTCCAAGCTTTGCATTCTCTACTCAGATTGCAGACTCATGGATTAAAACCATGGATAAATCCCCCTCGGCATATACATCCTGTTTACCGTCGAATTCTCGCACAGCGCGTTGGATAATTTCCTTTTTCCGAACTCTCTCCCAGCCAGTTATATTGTCGCCTGTTGTAACCCTGCTAAAAAACGTTTCTGATATTTTTCCGCTCACAAATACAGCTACACTAGAGACTATCGTCGACGAATTATACTCAACTTTGAACAGAAAGATTGCTGCTAAGGCAATAGACAAAAATATGAGTATCGCAACCATTTTACACAACATGGCGCAAATTTCATTTGCGATCGAGTCACTGCAGACGCACCAAAATAATTTTGTCGGTATGGTGTTTTCTCTTCTGGGCTTTTTCTGCTCTTTCCATTCTTCCCAAATCATAATTTTGACTTCCTTGTACGTATTTTGTAAATTGTTGAAACAAAGGTATACGTTTCTCCCGACCACGAAGGCGAATGTTACGTAGGGAACAACCGATTCGGCGTTCAAGGTAATCCCCATGACAACGAAGCCAAACGTTCGAACAATAAACTGACAAGAGAAGATAGAAATGACTGAAATGCTGACGAAAAACGGAAATGTAATAATAAGGAATAGAAAATTGGACAGCCACTCGCCAATTTTACCGCGTTTATAAATAAATTTCATTTGTGACGCCATTGTTTTCGTCACGTAAAGTAATCCGGCTACGAGAGGAGAATAAACAATAGTTGTCACAAGCAACACAACTAAGCCAACTAAAACTGAGATTGTTACGGCAATTGGACCGTAAATAACCATGAATGCAACTGTGTATATTATACAAATTGCGTGCCCGCATAGTGACTGCTGAAAATCGTTGCATTCAGAGCAGGGCGGGAACTTTGAGCCGAACTGTCGAAGGAAGACTTTTTTCAAAACAGTTTTCATTACTTTGATTGCACTCACAGTTTGGCATAATTTTTACATGCTCTACTATATGCTTTTTAAGACTGAACTGGTCCCGCCCGCAAATGCAGCAGTTACCTAACTGCAAAACCTCGCCTTCTTCACGTCTCCAAAAGGAAATTACCAGAGTGGGTATCAAAAATAACGGCACAATAAACAGAACATAAACAGCAGGTTTATCCATGCTAAAGATGTAAAGATAAACATCAGCCACTTGAAACAGAAGCCTCTTGGAAGCCCCGTCGAATTTATCCTTGATAATAAAATATAACAAAAGCTTAATATAGAAAAATGTTGGAATTACAAAATACCAAAAGAGAATCAATTTTACACTGAATCCATGGTTTACAGATGGAAAAATTTTCAGGCCTCTTCGCACAATCTCTGTGCAGGTTATTGGACTTGAATCATCTACTGGAATTTCATCTGATGTTCCCAAAAACGCCTCCTCTTCTTTTCCATTTTCTAGTCCGTCCGAGAAGAAATCTGGAACCACACAGAAGAGGTAAGGCCAGAAGAAGAACACAATTGTCACAACTAAATTCAAGACAGCGTTAAAAACCGACATCCATATGCTCTCATTTACGTCAAAGCCACAGTAAACTTGGTGTCTTTGATCTTCTTCAACCTTCTTGCAGCATTTGTATTTAAATCCGTATGCAAAGCCGAAAGAGAATTCCTTCAAGACTCGGAAACAAACCACACCAGGGTTTAGCTCATTCGTTAGTTTTGTATCAGTCGAATTTTTTGTGGCTGATAAGCCTGTCAGCGCTTCTGCGATGGCAATGGCCTGACATGAAGAATTCAAATCTTGAAGACATCCATCTTGTGTCTCGTCTAAAGACAACATCATTGTCCTTGCTTGATTTTTCAACAGACCCAGAGACAAAACGTCATAGTCGTAGGCGACACCTAACATCGATTCGTTTTCGCTTCGGGCCCAAACCCATCTGTACGGCAAAATTCTGTTATTCGTCGCGAGTGGCTTGTAACTTTCATTGAAGATCCTGAATTTTAAATACACTAGTTTCACACCTTCTTTCGGAGCTTTCAATCTGAACTCAGGAGACAAATCTCTCTTAAGTGAAATTTTACACTTCGATTTGCCACAAGAATACTTTGCGAAACTGCGACATATCAAACAATAAACTATCAGAACAGAAAGAAGAAAACTTATTTATGCCATGTTGACTGTTTGCTTCGCATGAGAAACCGCACGAACTCTGAGCAATGGACCATTTTGAATT